AGAGAGAGAGAGAGAGAGAGAGAGAGAGAGAGAGAGAGAGAGAGAGAGAGATGGCTCGATGAACACGTCCAGACACGACAGTCCAGTTCGAGACTTTTGTAGAGACTTGAGCCAAGATAATTCGAGTTCTGGGCGTTGTCATCGCCTTTGAGTCCACACAGAGATAAGCAACAGATGACAACGATTAGAGTTTGCGATCGAATTTAGCTCTGAGTAACAAATCGGCATTTAGATACGATCCACGAGCCATCCATCGATTATGCTCGATCAAATCAGAGCTATCACATAGTTTTGCTTCAAATGCTGATGAGTCTAAGAGTTTAAGAACCAAAAAGATTTTTACCCCATAGTCAGAAAAAAGTCTAATATTCCATATTAATATTGTGAAAAATATTTAACCAATAAGCAACAGATTGGGCCAATTCTTTGACCATGTTAGCCTTTATTGTTATTATATTTCCTCAACTTTTTCAAAAGAAGTGATTAAAGCAGAAAATTTTATGCAATATTATAAAATAGAGCGAGTAAATATATAGCCCATTATAAAGTCCAATTGTTAGTATATTAATATTTAAAGTATATATATATTTATATGAATTTACTCTCGTAGTATCGTTGCTCTCTTTAAAGTCGTCTATTGTAGTCCTCATTTGCCTTAATTACACGTCCATCGCGCTGGAGTTGCAAATAGCGAGTTGCTAGCCCAGCCAGAGACTGTAGAGACTAGACTATGAACACCTCGTCATATAGATAAACACACACACATACATACACATATAAATATGTGTGTATACAGATTGAGATTGTGCCTGCTGGAGAACGATTAGTTTCAATTGCCGCAGCCGCGCTTTATGGAGGGGGTTTTTCATTTGTTTGTTTGTTTCTTTTTTCACATTTTTTCACATTTTTTTGCTGCTGTTATTAAGCACAATTTAGGCGCACACCGAACTAGTGTGTGGGAGTATATAGCGCATAGCTAATACGAATAGATAGACGGGAATTAAAACACGCTGCTTGACAATGGCAATGCCGCAGATCGGGCTCGCTTGGGGCCTGCAAATTGATTTATTTGACTCTGATCGAACAGATTCAAGTTGAGCCGAGCTGTGGGAAATCTCAGTCTTCCGTGTGATATCAGTGGCTGATCTGATTGGGCTCCAGGGACTTGAGTTATTCGCTTTTAATTGGCCGGCAATTGTGTGGCGAGTGCTTGGCATCTCTTTTGTGCTCGAGTGCCGCACAATCGGGCTGTCGACGGAAGTGTCTGGCACCCGAAATGATGATGGGCAGTGGCCCATCAATGTTCGTATGCAGTATGCCGTACTGGATGAACACTGTGGCATTTAGCAGTCGCCCATGGCAACGGCGGGGGCCATTATTTAATTAAGCCACTGTTGCGGCTCTGTCTGCAGAATATCTGCGCGCAAATAATATGCTTGGAATGGGGGGACTTCTGGCATGGCCAGCGAGCGCTCGCCGAGTCAGTCAATCGATGTCGCTCAGCGCTGCGACTGCACTTGATCTGCGGCGGGGCCAGCTAAGTAGTTATCCAGCGCTGATTCCATGCCTTCTTCCATTTCCAGCAGCAGCAGCAACAGCAGCAGCAGCAGCCGCAGGCTTTTCAATCGCCCGGATCCCACATTCGCCACGCTCACCTTCCAGGATGAGCAGCCATCGCAGTCAGCGCAGCCATCGCAGCCATCGCAGTCGGCGCCGCCAACACAGTCGACCACTGGAGAGTCCGCTGCCAGCGTGGAGAGCGTGGTGACCAGCCAGCCGCGCGCCCACTTCACGAGCAGCCATCACCATTACCATCTGCCGCACCAGTTCCAGCATCCGCACCACCAGAACCACCACACGCACAGTGTCCGTGTGCCCACGCCCACGGTGCCGAGCAGCTATACGCCGGCCACGGATCCGGACGGCCGTTCGCCGAGCAACCTGCGACGGGCTGCAGCGCCAGCGGCGTCAGCGGCGTCAGCGGCGAGCGGCACGCTGACGGCGACGCCCAGCGATGCTGGGCACGTGACGGTGTCCGTGTCGCCGGGCCGCATGTCTGCACGCTCCTCGCAGCATCACGTCACCATCGATGAGTCCAACTTGCCCACCAAGTGCAATACGGAGCGTGCCGGACCCAGCGGCCTGATACTCGTCGGCGGCGAGGGGGATGGCGACGAGAATGCCGGACCCGGCGGCGACAGCTCGGAGCCGCCCTCCTCGCCGGGCAGCAGCTCCCAGTGCCAGGATCGCCAGAGCGGCCAGCTGGCCCTCATGTACCACTCGCATCAGCTGACCAACTATCCGGTGATGCCGGCCATCAAGCGCACGCACCGCCCCTCCTTTGTCTATCCGCCAATGCCGCGCGTCAAGGCGTAAGTAGCTCCGATATATATACCTTACCATATGTGATATTCCAATTATTAATCTCTCCTTGACAGCGGCGATGCTCTGGCCACACTCTTCTCGGCTCTCTACGGCAAGCTGCTCGTGGTCATGGGCGTGGCCTTTCCCATGGCCGAAGTTATATCCACCTACATACCGCCATCGTTCTATGAAGTAAGTGAAGTGGAATATATCGATAGATTATATAGTATATAAATATTTATAAAATATATTCTAATCTATATATATAAAATAAATTCTAATCTAAACTATATATAATCTAAGAAAATTAGAATATATTTTATAAATATTTAATTTATATTATATGTATATTATTTATTATTAACATTAATATTTATTTTTTTTTATTGATTGATTCTTTCCCTTGAACACATTTTTTAAAATAATAAAATAATATATTAGGAATGCGAAAAATTTAATTTTATATAGAGGTTAACTATTTACATATATATTTGTATAAATATATTTTATTTATATTTACTATATATATTTAATTTTTAATTTTATTGTTAAGCTATTTCTCTATTTACATTTTTTAAAATTTATTTTTGCTATTCATACATTATTTTTAATACTCATACCTTTATCGTTTTTCGTATTATTTATTTTAAATATTATTATTATTATTAATGATACATTATTGCATACAAATATATTTTAACTACTTTTATCTTTCATCAAGGTTTCATAGTTCTTTTAACTACTTTTATCTTTCATCAAGGTTTCATAGTTCTGTTTTCTTTTTTTTGCATTTTCCATTTCATATGAATCCATCCAAATGGAAAATTCCACCTCCATTATCTGCAGCAGCTTCTCTAATTGTAACTTCTTGCTTTCTTCCAGGTTTACTACTTGTATTTGTATATTGGAAGCATGATCTTTTTGCTGTTCATGTACGCCACGCTGCTCTGGGGACGACCCAAGCTGCCGGTGCCCGTGGGTAAGTGATTCATAGTTTTCTACAGCTTTCGAATAATGTGGACTGATGAGAACTTTGGCATTTACAGCCACCTCGCCGAGCAAGAGCACGTCCAAGGTGAACGCCTCGGACAGCATGGACGAATCGGACACGGACAGCACCACGACGCGGCGCCGCATCCAGCCGGCCATACCGGTGCGTCGTCCGTCGCTGCTGTCGCCGCTCGGACGGCAGCACCACTACGGCAGCTTCTACTTGCGCATGGGAGCAGTGGGTAAGTAGAGAGAGAGAGAGAGAGAGGGAGTGTAGAGAAATTGTTTTCTATTCCCTTACTTGTTGTTGTTGTGGCTCTTTGCAGCATTCGGCATTGGCAGCATGATCTATTCGGGCCTGGAGTTTGGGCAGTACTTCGAGCTGAATCCGGACACCAAGTGCCACAATGTGCTGCTCGCACTGACGCCAGCGACGCGCATGGCCTTCATCTTCATTCAGATGTACTTCATATTCCTGAACAACGAACAGATCAAGGTCTACCGCTACAAGATCATCGCCCGCTTCGGCCTGATGCACATGATCGGCACCAATCTGGCCGTCTGGCTGAACGTGCTGATCCAGGAGACGAAGCACGAGATACTGACCTTTTATAATCCCGAAAATCGCACGCTTCGCATCTCGCATCGCATTCCGGGACACTCGCGCGGACACGCTGTCATCGCCCACGATCCGACGGCCCATTTGCGGGTGCCGCGCGGCCTGAAGGGTCCCTACCAGATCTTCGAGTGCCGGCGCACCAACATCATTGGCACCCTCGTGCAGGACGCCTCGCCCTTCCTGTTCCCCTGCACCATCGAGTACTCGCTGATCTGCGCGGCCATCCTGTACGTGATGTGGCGCAGCATTTCACGGCCGCAAACGCCCACGCCCCAGCGACCGGACATGATTAGCTCGCCGATGAAGCGCTCGCCGCACCACTACTCCGTGGACTGTGCCCGGGCCCACAAGGGCCTCTTCGTGGGCATACTGATCCTGGTGCTGACCATCATCTCGCTGATCATATTCTTTGTGCTGATCTCGCGGCCGGAGTTCGTGGCGCTGGCCGTCACCGAGGTGACCATCTGCGAGCTGCTCATCTACGGCACGGCGACCATAGCCACGCTGCTGGGCATGATCCAGATACGGCACTTGCAGTACGATGCCTATCGCAGCTTCTCCCTGGACGACATCCTGCTGGTGGGCGCGCAGACCGGCTCGTTTCTGTACAACATCTTCACGGTCATTGCCGGGCACTTTACGCTGCGCAGCGACGACATGCTGGTGCCCATCAATGCGCTGGCCTCCATTGTGCAGACCGCCTGTCAGACGATGTTCATCCTGGACGCCAGCCGGCGGCAGGCCGTCAGTCCGGAGCACATACGCAAGAAGCCCGGCCGTGAAATCGTCACGTTCATGCTGGTGGTGAATCTGGCCATGTGGGCCATCAGCACGCTGGAGAAGTCGCGCGCCGAGTCGCATCCCATACAGCTGAACTTCTACGGACTGTGGGCCTGGACCATTATCACGCACGTGTCGATGCCGTTGGCCATATTCTATCGGTTCCACTCGACGGTCTGCCTGTGCGAGATCTGGAAGCGGGCCTACAAGCTAAAGCCGACGTACATGTGAGAATTCGCCCGCATGCGCATTCAAAGCATTGCGCAGCAGCAACAATTCTGCGAGGATCTCAAGACCAATCTATCCTACTGCTACTGCTCCACAACTCTGGCTGGCGGCGATCTCGAAACGGTGGATGAGGTGGACAGCGGCGAGAGCGGCAACGGTAATGGCAATGGCAATGGCAACGGAAATGGGAACGGAGCCAATGGCGATGCTGAAGCCGGTGCTGTGGACGCAGTTGTCCAGCAGGACGAGGGCGAACAGGGCGGCGACAGCGCAGCTGGCCGATTGGAACGGGCCCACGGCCGGGCGCTGTCGCCGCAAAGCCTCAACACCGAGAAGGCCTTCTGTCCGGTCTACGTTATAAACGGCGAATGAGTTTACGCTCACTTTGAGTTCATCGACGCCCTGAGCGGCCATGAGCTCAACTTTGTTTAGCACTGGAGCTAATGCAGCACCGATGCCCACCAAACATAAGGAACCATACACTCATCATGGACGAGTATGCTTAGAGTACATCACTCACCCCACCATCCGAGACCCACCATCCAAGAGAAATCCATTACACGAACCCACACTCTACTTTAACCTGGGCGGGTGCCAAGCCACCGACAAAAAAGAAGAAGCATTATAATTGACATAAAAAAACCCAAAAACATATCCGACAGTTGGAAATGGCAATGGAACAGACATATTTGAGATATAAACAAATAGAGTAGAGGAAAGCTCCATGAAACCAATGCAGAGTCCTTAACAAAGTAAAAATCTCGTAGTTATCTAAGCAAACTGTCGCTCCCAGACCCAAACCACGATTCTAAGCGACATCCATTAAGGCGAGTCGCGTCGTGTTCGTCCGTCTGAATTTATGAATCTCTTGAATAGCTACAGAGATGGCAGACACTTCCCAGAGTAGTAGATCCCTAGTTGAGTGTGTCTGGGTGTGTTTTCGTAGGACAATGTTACAGTTTACATATATGATATCAAAATATTGATATATATATATATACATACATACATACATACATATATTCGTATACCCACAAGTTAGATTCATACAATATTTATTCCAAATTGCATAAGGATATACAAATATTTCAAAATGTTGGTGTTACATGGTATATGGTTAAACGATAACAAGTTCCACAATAGGTTTTAGTGTTGGACAACAGCAAAAGCTAAGAATAAAAAAAAAGTATTTCAATGATTCCATTTTCAAACTTCAAGCGAATTATGTTGACTCTATAGAGACTGAAATTGTGTGTCCATAATGACTTCTACAGCAACAAGAAATAATCACCTTTAACTGAGAAGCGCTGAGAAAGGCGCTGCCGTAAAACGAGTTGTGAATCGTCAAGCAAATAATAGTATTCATATTATCCAAAGAGTTCGATTTAAAAATATACACAATACGCGATACGATACGATATGATACTAAACTACATACATACATACATACATAGTTGGTGAAAGATTTAATTGATTTAATCGTAGTACATTGAAATGAAATACATCTACTTGCGTATTAAATATAAAGCGAGAGAGCACACAACAAGAAACCCCACCAAATGCGAGCGATAAAGTCAAACAACTATGAAAAGTATTAACTATATTGTACTACATAGTAGCATATGATATAGAAAGGTTTATAATGTATAAGATCTATAGAGTATATATACGTACATACATGCAAACATACATATTCACATACTCGAAATGTTTATAATCAACAGCGATAACAACTACACACTTTCGTGGACATCATCAAGCATTGAGATATGTATTAATATATGTATATGAATGTATTTGCATAACTTTGAAGTAAAATTTTCGTATAGACATGATCCGTTTATTGTTAAAAATTCCTCGTTTATTATTGATCTGAAATCGTTGCCGCAACATGACGAGATTTGTGTTCGTTGAATTGCAATTTTGAATTACCAACTAGATGTTCGATTGGATACTATTTTATAAGCATTGATATACTTGTTGAGAGCTTCGTTTACCCTTATTTATAGGTTCTTGTGATAATTTGACTAACTATGCTCATGCTTGCATACATACATCTACATATATATATGTATACGGGATGTATGCAAAACTCTTCATTTACAATTCATATACAAAGAGAAAAGAAAAGAAAAGAAAAGAAAATACGATTCGAATAATACATAGCTAAGACTATAAATATACATAAACTATTCAGTATTGACTAAGCTCAAATAGAAGGACAAATCATAAACAGTTCAATGGGAAATAAATTCGAGACGCACAAGTAAAAAACAAAGCAAAAGCAAAAGCAACTAACTAATATATAAACTGTACTTTTAAATAAAAAACAATTTTTTTTGTCTACCATAAAAGTATAGCCTAGTATTAATATGTCTGCATGTACAACTAAATGTTTTACATGCATAAGTTTTTATTAGTATATATATATAATATATATATATATATTTACAACTAGTATTTCCCCCATTGACTTGTATATTTTTCAAATGCCAAAGAGTTTTTACTTAGCCTAAGTTTGAATTGCTTTCTATATACACAGCTAAGTGCAGGCATATATGTATATATATATATATGCATTAAATTGGTACCAAAGATTTGAGTTCTTGATTTGTAAATCAAGTCTGAACGTTATGAATGTCAAAACGAAATTAATTTCCAATGAAAACAACTTGAAATCAAAAATATAATAAAATATATATATATACCATACAAATATATATATATATATATTGATTATTTAAAGTATATATATGCACAAATTAGTTATCTCAATTTTATATTCAAACAAAATTTTTAACTAGCATAACTGTAACTTTGTATGCATTTTCTTACATGTATTTAGTGTACTTGGACAGTGCTCAAAATAACAAAAAAATAAAAAATAATAATAATAATTCAACAAAAAAAAAAAAAAAAAAAAGGAATGAAAATTAAAATCGAACTCAAAAAGTCGTATAATCGAATGTGTCAAATCAAAATTGAAATGTAATAATAGCATATAATTAAAACTAGTTACTAGTTGCGAAACGTAATGCGCTCTACATTCAGAAACTGTATTGAAAGCTCCTATTCCAGTAGTCAAAGAAACCGAAACCAAAACAACAGAAAAGAATTACAAAGAAATAAAAAAATAAAAATAAAAAAATAAAAAATAAAAGAACAAAAGCCCCAAAGTTATGCCCAACATTACAAACTTTTTTTAATGAAAAATATTAAAAAAAAAAAAAAAAACAAAAAAAAATATAATAATTATGATAAACAATACAGCTCATAGTTATATTTGTATTGATCAGAAACAAACATATTTACACACACACACTAGAATCTGTGTTCTATTAAAATTTATACATATAAAAAAAAAAAAAAAGAAAAAAAATTAATTAAGTTTAATTTCGTTTTATATTAGAATTCGTAAACTTTTTACACCCTTCATTGTTTTTACTAAGCTGAAGTTAATCTAGAATTTCCATATTGATAATCCTATATAAGATTGATTTTAGCAATTGGCGATCGATGACACCTCCCCAAGCCCTACCCCCACCCAAAAACTGATCATAGTTAAGCAATAATATGAAGTAAAGATTAATAAAACTGAATTCGATTACTATGAAAAAGCTAATTTGAGCACTGTTTTTATTTGGGTCAAGTGGTGCTCTAAATACATAATTAATCTCCGGGTACAGCAGCGGCACCCGCCGTAAAGCGACCGCGTAGGTAGTACAACAAGTAAAATACAAAAATTGATATGGCTCGCATTTCGCGTTTCGCGTATCTGCGGATGGGCATGTATCTGTGAGAGGCTCAGGCTGCTGGTTAAGGGTTGCAAGCACGTACGCGGATGCGATAGAGATAGAGCTAGAGAGTGGGACAGAGAGAGAGAGAGAGAGAAAGACTGCCACTACGCCTCTTCTAAGCCAGGGCGCATCCAAAAATCGGGTCTCTGCACTTCACGGGAGCTGCAGCAGCAGACGTAGGAGGCCTTATTTCCTCAACTACTTAAAGCTTATGCTCTCTCTCTCTCTCTCTCTCTCTCTCTCGCATCTTTCTCTCCAGCGCGCGCTCTCTCTCTCTCTCTTTCAGGCCATCTCGCCTGTGGATGCTGTGCGCTGCCCCTGATTTTCGCTGCAGTTTTGTGGATGCTGTTCAGTTAGGGAGCTGCGTCCTATGTATAGGCTCATATGTACACCATATATATACATATATACACATATATAGCAACTGATTACCCGGGACTTGAACCACGCCCTGGCCAACAGAGCTGGCCGAAAACTAGGTTAGCACTGCTGCTCGTCCCTTCTATACTTATTTTTATTTACCTAATACCATTTTCCTGCTACTTCTTTTCTTTTCCATTTCTCTAATTCTTTTTTTTTTTTTGTGACTTTTCACTGCATTACAAACACAATGGCTGCCCGGGGCGGCTTTTGCTGGACAGGACGAGCCCCTCCTTCGCTGCCGCCTCCTCCTTCTCCTCTGGATTGTTTAATTCAATTAACGTTTTGGGGTATTTGGGGTACGTCAACACACGCAGCGGCCTGCAGCTTGACCAATGCACATGTCCTGCCCCTGTCCTCCCTGTCCACACATAGGCCAACACTTACGCCCACACCCAAACCAAGTCCCCTCGCCCCCTTCCCCCACGCCTGGCAACATTAATTGTGGGCGCGCCTTCTTGCAATTAGATACAAAAGTAAAGTTTACACAAAATGCACCCTGTTTGGCGGCAAACTTAAGCCACGAGGTGAATGTCCTTTGCCCGATTTCTCGCGCATGCGCCCCACAAGCTCCAGACACATCCCGTGCCACATTCAGAGCCGCATTCAGAGCCACATCTAGAGCGACAGCCACAGCCATTGCCAAAGACCCAGCGAGCGAGTAGGCGCAGCAGCAGCAGCAGCTGGCCCGCTCCGGCTCTCATGTCCTTGCTCTGTCGCACCTCCACGGCACTCTTTACCTGTACATGTGTGTGTGTGTGTGTGTGTTTGTGTGTGTGTGCACATTTCTATGTACTTAAATCCGTGCATAAGGAGACGCATAGGCACGCACAAACAGAAGCCTTTTATGGTCCATAATCCTGGCAGTCGAGTGTGTCAACACGACAATACACAGGTCCTTGCTACAGGCATCTGAGACGCACACCCAAAAGTGGGCGTAGCACAGCGCCCACTCAAGAGAAACGGACTCTACCCGTATGCTCAATCAGCCGCATGCACACATTCAGAAGACTCGCAAAACCTCAAGCGTTGCGAAATTCTCGGGCTCATTAAAATCATATATATACATATACTTGTATATGTATATATGTACATATATTTATATATTTTCTATTTGTACTTTGCGAATAGCTATACTTACATCTTGATGGATGGTATATTTGCACGTCTTGACTAAGACTTATTCAGTATATGCTATACCTCTCCCTGTTCAGTTAACTGCGTCAATCAGTCCTTAATGGCTTGATTGACTAAGTCTTTTGTTGCCTGTCTGATTCACTCAACGCTGATTGTTCGATTGACTGATTGAGTGATGATTCATTATCTGATAAAATTGCAGATTATTTATGCAATTGATTGATGGACGCTCTGACTGACTAACTGACGACTGTTTGA